AGCTAATACTACACTAACTCCTTTCTTCATAACACCTTTCCTCAAGCTGGTGGCTGAAATAAATCTTTTACCCCCAGCTTGGACATTAGATGTAGATGTGTTGCTTTCCATAAGCCTTTAGTAAGTAGGTCTGCCAATTGATATCTTGTTGATACATGATTAGTCTTGATCATTTTTTGTTGTAGTTTTTCTCTGACAAAGTGACAATCAATGTCAAAATGCTTCGTCCTTTCATGAAAAATAGGATTGGATGCAATTTGGATTACAGCCTTACTATCACAATAGAGTTGAACTGGCTGCTTGATGTTAACCCCTAGCTCCTTATATAGACCAATAAGCCAAGTGATCTCTGCTACTGTTGATGTCATACTCCTGAATTCAGCTTCAGCAGAACTCCTTGCTACTGTCTCTTGTTTCTTAGATTTCCATGATATGAGTGCATCTCCAAACTTCACCAAGTAACCTGTTACAGACCTTCTTGTTTGTAGACAAGTACCCCAATCAGAGTCACAGTAAGCAGTAAGTAATTCTGAGCTTTGAGCAGGCATAAACAAACCTAGACCAGGAGATGTTTTAATGTATTTAACTACTCTAAGAGTTACTTCCATGTGAGACTCTTTTGGGGCATGCATATACTGGCTCAAGACTTGTACTGCAAAAGATATGTCTATTCTGGTCGTTGTTAAATATAATAGCCTTCTCACTAACCTTTGATATCTTCCAATATCCTTCAAAGGTTTATCTATTGGAGTAACTTCTGATCTATGTACATGTTTATCATACTCAATAGATGTCAGTCTTACATTAGGATCCATTGGTGCATGAACTGGTTTTGCACCACTCAATCCCATTTCAGAGATTAGTTCCAAAGCATACTTGAGTTGATTCATCACATACCTCTCCTTGGTTCTAGCAAACTCAATGCCAAGAAAAAACTTCAGTTCTCCCAAATCTTTCATCTTAAACTTAAGTTTCAGATCATTTCTAGTCTGTTCAATCAAGCTGTTACAGCTACCAGTTACTAGAAGATCATCTACATACACAAGAACCACCACCAATTCTTTTCCCATTGTTCTAGTAAACAATGAGTAATCATAATGGCTTTGAACAAATCCCAACTGAACTAATGCTTCAGTTAACTTCAAATTCCATTGCCTAGGTGCTTGTTTGAGCCAATAGAGAGATTTGTGCAGTTTGCAAATTTTGTTAGACCCCTCCTGTCTGCAAAAACCCGGAGGCACAACCATATAAACATCCTCAGGGAGATCACCTTGCAAGAAAGCATTGTGCACATCCATTTGAAAAACCAACTAGTGTTTAGTAGCAGCCACAACTAGTACAGATCTAACAGTAACCATCTTTGCCACAGGAGAAAAAGTCTCAGTGTAATCCAGGCCCTCCTTCTGATTAAACCCCTTAGCAACTAGTCTGGCTTTGTATCTCTCAACAGCTCCTGAGGCTAAGTGCTTTACCTTGAACACCCACTTACAACCAATAGGTTGCTTGCCAGGAGGTAGCTCAGTGATGCTCCAAGTATGATTATCCTCCAAAGCAGAAATTTCAGCTTGCATGGCCTCTACCCACTTAGGTTGGACTACAGCTTCCTCAAAAGAAGTAGGCTCAGAAATACTGGAGTAAGCAGTTAATGCTGCACCATAGGAAGCAGTGAGATGAGCATAAGAGATATGATTGGAGACAGGATACTTGCAGGAGGCTTTAGGCTGAGCTGTTAAGAAATCTTGCATCCATATATGAGGCTTAGTGGATCGAGCAGACCTTCTCAATGGAACAGTCTCACAGGGTGTCAAAGAAGCAGAACAAGGATCACCTAATACATTCCCAGCATCAAGAGAAGAGTCAGCAGGAAAATCAAATCCACTTACAGATGAACTAGAAGCAGCAGTGTTCTCAACAGGACTGGGATCAGAAACCAACAGTGGAGTCTCTTCAAGGAACTGCAGAACAGGAAATAAAGGGGGGCAAGCAGAGCTCATATGCTTGAAGGGGAAGACTGCCTCTTTAAACACCACATCTCTGCTGATAAAGAAGTCTTTGGTAGCTAAATCATAACGCTTGTACCCTTTTTGGAGAGTAGAATAACCAACAAACACAGCAGGAACAGACCTAGGAGAAAACCTGTCAACTTTCCTTACCTCAGTGGCAAAAACACGACATTTAAACACCCTTAAATGATCAAGTACAAGGGGACCTTTATACAACAAATCATGAGGAGTTTGTCCTTGCAGCACAGGAGATGGGAGTCGATTTATTAGATAAACACCAGTGTTAACACATTCACCCCAAAAACGAAGGGGAAGACCAGCCTGGAATCTTAGTGACTGAGCCATATCTAAGATGTGTCTGTGCTTCCTTTCCACAACGTCATTCTGCTGAGGAGTATAGGTACATGAACGCTGATGGATAATACCTAGAGTATGCAGTAAAGTAGTGACCTGTGAGTTGAAGAACTCATACCCATTGTCAGATCTAAGCACTTTGATCTGAGTTGAAAATACATTTTTCACCATTGCAAAGAACTGAGTTAAAGCAACAATAACTTCAGCCTTAAAATTTAGCAGGAAGAGCCATGTATATCTCGAGAAATCATCAACCAAAGTAAGAAAATACCTTTTATTATCATGAGTAGGAACTCTATAGGGACCCCAAACATCAACATGTAATAAGTGAAAACATGCAGTAGTAGTAGTGTTGCTCAAAGGAAATGAGAGTCTGGCTTGCTTAGCCAATGGACATACAGTACAAATGGTAGAAGAACTAGATGAAAAAGGTTTGAAACAACTAAGTTTTCTGATAGTAGAAACAGGCACATGACCTAGTCTCTGATGCCAAAGAGACATATCTAAGCTACAAGACTGAGAAGAAGAAACTGCATTAGCTACATGAACTGAATCCTGTGTAGACTTCAATGAATCTCATGAGATCAGCTGACTATCAGCATGCACAACATACAAATCATTCTCCAATCTGCCAGTCCCTCTCACAGTCCCATTTGAGAGGTCCTGAAAGACACAAAAATTAGGATAGATTAGGACACAACAGTTGAGCTCCTTTGTTAGTTTAGATACTGACAACAAATTGTAATGGAAGGCAGGAATATGCAAAACATTGGAAATCTCAGTCCCTCCAAGGACCTGAGAAGAACCAATGTGAGTAACACGAGCAAGTGCACCAGTGGGTAGATGAACTTTGTTACATGAATTATTCTGTAAAGAGACTTGTGGTGTGATCAAATTCTCATTATGTACCATATGTTGAGAAGCTCTAGAGTCAATAATCCATTTATTATTATTAACAGAATGCATCCTACCTGATGCCATCAGATTGTCACAGTTGGTGTTTGCCTTTGCTTTCTCATTCTCTTGATCCAACATGTGTAGAAGTTGTTGATACTGTTGTGGAGAGAAGTGAGGATGCTGCTGAACCTGTGGGTCAAAATGAGCTAGTGGAGACTGCCTATTAGACATAAGAGCAAAAGAGGTAGTAGGAGAGAAACTACCACTGTGAGACATTCCAAGAGCACTTGAAGTTGATCATTGACCAGTATTTGCTGAATACTGCCTCAGCTAAATAGTACCAGCATTAGCACCTACAAGATTAGCTGCAGGAATAGATCCAGGTGGTGTTCTCTTCTTACCCTTCCAGACAGGAGGATAACCATGAAGTTTATAACAAGTAGCTCTGATGTGACCTTTCCAATTGCGGTAGTCACAATAAAGATCTTTGGTAGATCTTTGATAAGATCTAGAACCAGATCCTGAAGAAGGATTAGGTCCCGAGTATGAACTAGAGCCTGATCTAGGTACATGACTCTTATTATTGCTGAAGAATGCCATGGCATCATTCACCAAATCGTGATTATCAGCATTTACAACATTGGATTTACCAAGTATCCTCTGGCTTTCCTCTGCCATAACCAGAGAGTAAGCCTTGTTCACACAAGGTGCTAGATCCTGCATCATAATCTGACTTCTACACTGATTATAAGACTCATTTAGCCCTAAGAGAAACTGCATCAATCTCTGGTACTCAAAATGAGCTGCATAAGTCTTAGAAACTTCACAGGCGCAACCAGGACATGGCATAAGAGAGTCAAATTCCATCCACAATTCCTTGAGTTTGGAGAAATAGCTAGACACAGACAACATTCCTTGACTAAGTGTAGCAATCTTCTTGTGTAAATAGAAGATCCTAGAGCCATCTACTTTGTCAAATCTCTCTTTCAAGTCAGTCCCTACTTGCTGAGCACTACTAGCATAGACTATTCCACTTAACAGTTCCCTGCTTACAGAGATCACAATCCATGACAGGACTATGGCATTACATTTTTCCCAAAGATCATGTAATAAGACAGCAAACTTATCCTTTGAATACTGACCAGTAATGAAACCTAACTTCCCTTTTCCTAGTAGTTCAATCTTCATAGATCTACTCCATAAAGAATAATTTTCAGATTCAGTGAGTTGAATTGAGACCAAGGAACTACTTGGAGTATCACATGCCTGCAAATGAAGAGGATGATGAGCATAGACTCTTGTATGAGCTCCCGCAGTTCCTGAAAAAGGTCCTATAACTGAATTAATGGCAGCTGCATCCACCATTGCAAAAAACTCGAATGAACTCTGATCTTCACTGTTTCTGGGACAATGCACACTACTCCTTCACGAGCCTATTGCTGCACTGAAAACAGAGAGATACTCAGAGTGATACCTCGTGCTCTGATACCATGTTAGAATCAGTAATGGAGATTCACTAATTGAGGAAGAAGAGAGAAACAAATCTATATTGAGCTACAGAACTAAAATTGAATCAATATACATCTTTGGTAGTATCTATTCTATTTATAATACATCACATTAAAGCATTTAACTAGACTGGTAGACTTAACTTAACTATGGTTAGTTGTAACTACTTTTACTAACTGAATTTGTTACTGACACATACTAACAGATTCTATAGCTAATACTACACTAACTCCTTGCTTCATAACAGTTACGAGAAAAAATGGGAAGGGAGAAACGGACATGTCAAGGTAAACAACACTTCAGCCATCCCCACTTCTTGAAACTAATTGTCAATCCATCTGAAACACTCACTTGCAATGCTTGTGAGCAACCAAATATTACTACTACTTTCTATGGCTGCAATACCTGCCAATATTTCCTCCATGAAAACTGCCTCAATGCTCCGCGTTTTCTCGATCATTCATCTCATCCTTCCCACCACTTGACCCTTCTCCCAACTCCAACTTACTCGAATAGTTCCTATACTTGCAAGGCTTGTGGCTCTGCTGGCAATGGTTGTAGCTTTAGCTGTGCCTGTTGTGAATTTGATGTCCACATGCACTGCGCCCTTTTGCCCCAAACTGTTGTCCTTCCCCAGCGCCATCATCATGAACTTGAGCTCATATTCGAATCCCCTTTTTATGATGATGCTGATGATGGAAGCAACATTTTTGTCTGTGATCTCTGTCGCGACATTGTAGATCTTAATAACTGGTTGTATTATTGTACTGATTGTGATTTTGGTACACATCTCGGATGTGCCATTTCCAAATCTTTCTGCCAACAAGAACGTCCGAAACTGTTGGGCAACAAACCAAGAGAAAATCCAATAGTAATCAGGAAAACAGAGGAGGTACCCATCAAGAACGAAAAAGAAATCAATTAAGAAGAAGAAGAAGCAGAAGCGGAAGACGAAGTGTCACGACCCGATTTCTCGAGTCATGATGGCACCTACAATATCCTACCAGTAGGTAAGCCAACCCGTAACCCAGAACATCAAGCAATGAGCAAAAAGGGTAGAAACTAGCGAAAAACAATAATCTAAACAAGGATAACAAGGCGGAAGCAACCCAAAATAAATATATACAGAAATCCCTCCCAGAACCTGGAAGTCACTAGTACAGAGCTATCTAATAAAGAGTACAAGTCCCAAAAGTGGACCACAACAGAGCGTGTCTCAAAGGCAACAAGACTAGCTAAAACAAAAGAAGGAGACAAAACAAACCCCAAAACGCCAAGTGCTCGCCCTCGTCTCCGAATCACAACTGCAAAAAAAGGCTGGAACTAATCACCGCTGGTAACTGGTACTGGGACCTGCATCACAAAATAGATGACAGAGCGTAGCATGAGTACCAACACAACAGGTACTCAGCAGGCATCATAGGCCGACTGAGCAAAAAGGGTAAAAACAATAAGAAATGATAGAATCTAGACACAGAGAGGTCAAAGTAGGATAATGAAAAGAAAGCACACGAGCATACCAGAATCAAACTAAGTACACTAAACTAAACCTAACTGGATCCCATATGCCCAGAATGTACACTCGTGTGCAAGCTCAAATAAAACCTGAACGAACCCCCATAAGCCCGACAGGTACACAGCAAGGCTAAGTCTACTGAGAAAGAAGAAAACCGGGCTCCCAACCCAAAGTAACTAAGATAATCCATCAAACTCCA